GCTCGCGGGAAAAAAAGGCAGCGCATCAGATCCATTTCTGAGCAAGCGAGCAGCTCGCTGGATCGATGGGATCAGGAGTGAATCGAACACCCGTTTCAGCCGAGGGAGATTCGTTAAATCCTTTTCGTGTATCCTCCCGTTGGACGATTGGTTCTGCTGGAACCAACGAGGAGTCGAACCTCGGTCTCACGATTTACTTAACAGAAATTCTTGTAGGCTGCGTCTTGGCCACTGGACCACTGATCCTTGGCCAAAATTAGGGTGTTCTAATAACAACATTTTATCTTTGTATCTCGGAAACTTTTTAAGCTGAAAAAACAAAAAAGTATTTTGAGTTCCTATCAAGAGAGAGGATAAGACTAAAGTATTTGTTATTAAAACAGTTTATTATAAAGTTACGTTTTAATTCTGAGTGTTGGCCAAGTTTTGTCGACGCGACACAAGAAGCTGTAAAGTTGGATGTGGTTTATGGGTGATCATAACTTTAGATTTCACGACCACACCAGGGACAGGACGAAACGAAAAAGATGACACAAGCCAAAATAGGATGATTTTAAATTCGATCATTGTGAATTTCATTCCGATGCAATTTCTAAACATCAGGGGAAATAAAATGAAAAAACACGAAACGTAAACGTCAGGTTTCTACTTCAACGACATTCAAACAAAATAGTCTTACCTGGGACCCAACGAGAATGGTAAATAAGCCCCAAACGCGCGTGGTGCTCCTTCCATTGTTACAGGATGATCCCCCTCAAATTTCGGACGTTCGGTGTCCCCATTGTGTGAAGGATGATGATCCGAAAGCCATCGATCAGGTGAAAACTCATCAGCATCAGGACCCCAATATTGTTCCGACCTGTGCGTTATCGACGGGCTCACAATTATTGTGGTGCCTTTAGGAATTGTAACACCGTCAATAACATCTTCCTTCGAGGCGATTCGGCGCAGACTCAATACTGTTGTTAAGGGGTGATTTTTTGTTCCTTAGTAACGTATAAAATAACATGCAAGCATGATTAAATAAGAGGGCTTGGAAATAGTGCTTACCTGGCGGGTAATAACGCAGTGTTTCTTTTGCAAATGCGTCCAAATACGGTAGATTACTGTTAATCAGTTCAAATGATGGTCGATCATTACCACATGCTGCCATCTCGTCACAAAGTCGTTGTTGAATGTCGGGATGTGTTGAAAGAACATGTAAAGCCCAAGTCAGAGCGGTTGAAGTAGTTTCGTGACCAGCTACGATAAAAGTGAACACTTGGCTAACCAATTCGTCGTGTGATAATTGTTCACTTTGATGACTCTCCATGTTATCTTTGATCAGGATACTCAAAAGATCTTTTGATTCCTTTACGCATCCGTTGGATACGTCGGCTTTTCGTTTCATAATGATCTCATCCACTAAAGCATCAGTCATTTTTTTGTCCTTTCTTCGCTGACGGAACCTTTCAATAGGGAGATATGTAATAAGTGGAAATAGTAACTCGATAATTAACATCGGAGTAATAGCAAAGTTTGATAATATGCTCGTGAAAGTTTTTGAAAGTTCCGAAGCATTCCCATCAATTGCGTGAAAATCAAAACCAAACCCTGCAAATAAGGTGATTGCAAAAGAAACCAGCAAGGAAAAAATAGTTAGAATTGGGAATCTGATAATGTTTCAGTAAACACACTAACCAGCTTTGCCTATCACGTCCAATGTCACCTTTGACATATCAGCGCCAATATCGATTTCAATCTCTTCCTCCTTTGAAGACTCAAACAATTCATTCCAACTTTTGCAAAGTTCAGAGGCCGTGTCCGAAAACACAGGAGCTAACAAAGCAATATTCTGAAGCCGAAAAACAGGATTCAACATGGCTCTTTGCCGTTTATGAATATCGCCCTACGGACGAAGGAAGGATATGAAACTTTGATTATCAACTGTATATTTAAAAAATAAACCAAGAACAAAAAAACGAAAGAACAGGAGATGAAAGAACGTAAAGAAAGAAATTGGTGAACGCACAAACCTCAACAGCAACAAGACCCTTTCCAATAAACCTGAAAATGAAAGAACAGCCAAGTGAAATAGATAGTTTTGGTCATGCTTAGAAACAAAACAACAAAGAAGAAAGATAGAAAT